TACGTGGTCATATCTATGTGTGGTTCGTATACTAATAATATCCATTCTTATATATTAAATATTGTGTTCACATCATTCTACTTTATCAGACGACCTAATTGTATGACTAACTCGGGTTTATACAAACCAGGGTGTTTTAATCTCCCGCGTGTTGACTTCTTCTCTTAGATCGCACTATCGACCTGTTTGTATCCATGTCGAATTTCTATCAGACTAACCAAAAGACTTAGCTCGACATGCTGGTGAGCTCCCTTGTCTGTGAGGTAACCATCGGTCTGGTGGTACTTTCACCTCTGATGTCTTTGTTGTTAGATCGACTTGTCGATCCACCTGGTCCAATCAAACCACTTTTTAGTTCGTACTCGACCTGGGATGGTATCTCATATCATCTAGTCCAATCACTCTGGTCCAGTTAGGATAACTCGATCTAAGAATAACATCAATTATATTTGGTCATGTTCATTGAGCGTAAAACCTGTCAAGCCGACCTGACTTACCAACTCACTTTTTCCTTCTATCTTGGCCCAAAATAGCCCACTCGACCTAGGGGTGAGGTTTTGAATTAAAAATTTAAAATTCAAATTTCTGGCATAAGTCCATTTGTCCTTTCAAATCATATGACAACCTTCTGTATCGACATAACCACCTCAAACTTTGTCCCTTTCTCGATCAACGCATCCATTGGTATTGTGCTTCTTTATCCGTCAGATCTTACTTTTATCCAATGGTCATGTTCGACATATCTCTTCAACGTATCCTTTTAATCTCACACGTCCATTTCGATCTTACTCAAACATCTTTTCACCTTCTCATCTTTTAATCTCATCCATCCATATCGATCTGTATCGAACGACTGATCTCAATTTGCCTCTTCGCCTCCTTTTTTTTTGCCCCTACAAATGGGCCATTCTTCTTCATTTTCCTCTCCTTTTGCCTTTGCTGAAATTTCTACTATGTACTGCTCTCATATTTTCCTGCAAAAAACCTTATTCATAATCGTCATTGCTTAGTTGTCTATCAGCACTGATATAGAATATATACCCACAAGGCTAAACTGGTTGGTTGAGCCGGTTGAAGAGGCCATACCGTGAAGAAACCAAGCGGAACGGCGGGAAAATCGACCAGTCAATCAGTCGACCAGCTAAACAGTCGACCAATCTATCATTCGACCAAATGAACTGTCCAGCAGTTCAGTCAACCTCAATTGGTCGACCACTTCGCGGACATAACACAACATAGATCGGCCTAGTCACAGGCGCGTGAAAGAGTCTCTAACGAAATTTCAAAAGAATATTCATCCCATGTGCAGGAGGACACGTGTCGAGAACTTATTGGTTGATAGCGACAACCACCTCTGACAACTCCCAACGTCCCGCGCCACCTCTGACATGTGCGCGGCGTGTCAGAGTACGGACGGGCAGCTTGGGCAGCCAGCTCATCAGATTCAGGCAGCCTTAGGTCAAATATTTCACTCCTATATAAAGGGGGTGAGCCTTTCTTCCTAACACACGATTTTTCCATTATTCAACTCCAGTATATTCATACACATACTGACTTAAGCATCAGAGGCTCTTCACCTGACACAACCCCCGGTGTGAGAGTTATTTGCAGGTTTCCGGCGTTCTATCGGCGAGGAAAAGAATCGATCTACCCCAAATCGGACCAAGACGCTTACACTTGCATTAGGCGCAACTTTTTCAAAGCACCGAAATAACCATGTCTATGAGTAAGTATTAACCAATTTTTTTCGTCAATAATTGCATGCTTGATTTAATATTCAGTTCCATCCTTCGCGTAGCTAATCAAACCTTCTTTGCATTAAAACCAAATGAGGACCTACTGATTGTACAAATCTCTGTTGACGACTTCATTTTTAGGTTAACATCCAAGAAGTTGGTCAATCGCTTCGTAAAACTAATGTCTTCTGAAATTGAAATGATCGTGATATGTGAACTTGCATACATTCTAGGTAAAACAAGGTCAGGATTGTATTTTTCTCCATCAAAGTAAATATGGCAAAAATCTTGTTAAGAAGTTTGGTCTTGAAAATACTAAATACCTCATATTCCTATGGGCACTCATAAGAAGTTGTACAAAGATAATGAAGGTACATCCGTTGGTCAAACTATTTATCACATCATGATAAAAAATCTCATTTATCTAAATGTGGCCTGATATATGTTTCAATGTTTGACAGTGTGCTAAATATCAGTATGATTCCAAGTAATCTCACTTAAAAGTCGTTAAGCGTATTAGAAGCACAGAGTAACGTGGAACAATATTAGAAAGAGAAAATTATCTAGTGCACCTTAGATTGCATACTTTATTGCACAATTACCAGCCATTTATATTTACTTACAAAATTACTAAATATATATTTACAAACCTACCAGAAATTTAGTGTGCGATGAATTTAGTAATAGTTTTTAAAGAAGTTATTATCAATCAAACAGATTCCACAAATCAAGGCAATTCTCCAATCGTGCTTATCAGTTATCACTCACATCTCAAACCACCCACTCTCGTTCGTATTGTTCTAAAAAAATTTCAGCAAATCCTAAGAAGCTAATAGATGACGTAAATCAAAATTCCATGGGAGGTTGTTTTTTAACTCTTCGAGCGGCGTCGTGCGTTATCCCACAATTGCAGTCGAGTTCACACCTCCACATCTCCAAGCGAAAAGTTTTATGGTATAAAAAAAAAACTCAATTCGAGAAGAAATTGAAGCGGCTACGACAAGATACATGTAAAGTTCACTATGAAATTGAATATTCTGACTGAGAAATGATCGGGAAGGCGTGATTGATCGAGAATTCATTCTCGAGGCGAAGGACCAGCAGCTTGACGCAAGTTTCGTTGGTGAGGTGATGTTGGAGAGGTCGACGGTCTCGGATCTGACGTCGCCGCTTTCCCCTGCTCCTATTTTGTGGTGGGTCTGGATGGATAGGTCCTTCGGCGGGGGCGGCCTGCGGTCCCGACAGGGATGCTTGATACGGTTGCGCCAGTCCAAGCACAACAAGAAACATGTTGTTAATTTTTAATCTCCTCATATTTTATCGGTCACCCTGTAATTGGAACTCTGCAGTTTTGAATGGTTTATATTTAATATATTTTCGGCATATTTTTATCCCCTCATATTGTATCGTGTTTGTATCGTCTCTCCCTGTTATATGTATGATTTATATTCAGTATAACTTCGGTATATGTATGGTTTATATTTAGTAAAATTATGAAAAACATATACAATACATATAGCATCATTACGGTTTGTATTGTAAGTATATACACCGACATTATATTTTATATATTCATTATATATACCATGATTATACTTTATATTTACTATAATCATTGAAATATATGCAACACATACACCAACATTTTTTTATGGTATATTTTATGTATATATATTACATACACTGAATATATACTAACATAAATCAATATATACCACTCTGGACACATGCGTGAATTACAATACATGTTTTTTTTTTCTTTTTTCTTTTGAGTATTTGTAATGGAATATACACGATAATTAAGGGTGGAGCGATTTATTTGTATGGTTATTCATGGTTTATAGTTAGTATATTTCAGTATATTTTCAGTATATTTTCGAAAGAGCAATATGTAAAAAAAAGATATATATATATCATAAAAAACGATTAAAATAAACTATATATACCATAAAAAAATTGTATATATACCATTAAAAATCTGAAAAATCTATTTAATGAATTATCAAAGATAAAAGAAAAATATAAAATAAAAAAAATGAACCAATTTTTTTTATTTTTTGAGGTTAATGGATATAGTAACTGCCTTTTTTGAGCATCAATGTAGTCAAATATGGTCTTAATCAACGGAAATCAACGGGTTGATGTTGTAATGGATATAGTAACTCCTTTTAGACATTGATGCAATTAAATATGGTCTTTTAAGAAAGACATAATTAATTATATATGTATGGTAGAGTTGTAAATATTTATAAATCAAGTTGGAGATATGAAAATTTCCAAGAGAAACATACCGTGGGCCTGAACATGCTTACTGCTTAGCATATCACTTTCCCCTAGTGTGTTCATATATATTGAGATTATTTTCTATTTGTTATACAATAAGTACTAAAATTTGAATATAATCACATGTATGTATGTTTGGTAAAACATTTTGTACATAATACTTTATTTTAAATTGTTTACATAACTTCAAATGAATCACATTAGTAGATAATATTACACATAACACTGTTATGTGTTGATACTAGTGGTATTAACACATAACATTATCACACACTTAGATTTGCCAAAAAAAAAAAAAATACTTCTATAACTTTTATAAATAATAATATAATTATATTATAATAAATTTTAAATTAAAACAATACTTAGGTACTATATAGTGAACCAAAAAAATTACTACCTCATATTTTTTTTTTTTAAATGTCAAACCAATCAACCATTAACCAAATAAATGACGTTTTGGATCTTTTGTAGATATTTTTTCATTATTACTCTCATTTAACTAATAAATACATTATGTCTTTTCATATTCACTATTCATATTTTCTCAAAACATTCATTTTTATCTTCATTAAAGAGAATTATTATTGACAAAACAAATATTCTTAATTACTGTGCAACTTCTCAAAACACATTTATTATGAATAGGAAGGCGTATATATTTTTTTTTGTCAAAAAATAAATATTAATATTAAAATATTATTTATATTAATATAAATGGAATAACAACTAATATAAAAACCAATACAAAAATATTAATTAAAATATGTGGAAAACAAATGGTATAACCTCTTTTTTTATTTTTATTTTTATTTTTTTGGTACAAATGATATATAACCTCTTTTGTTTGTTTAGGAGGCATTCACCTTACATGCTTAGCCCATTCAACTTTTCTTCTTTTCGTACATGGCACGGTGAGCAAGGGACAGAGGTTTTTGGTTTCATAGTTCCTGAATTTTTCCTTCAGATTTGCGTATCAGAATGGGAGGTTGCGACGTCGCCGATGGTGGAGAGGATTCGAGCATCGTTGCCGGAGGAGGCGAGGCGACGGTGAACATCCAGTGCCTGAACGGCTCGAAGTTCGTTGTTCAGATGAACTTGAACGCAGTTGTTGAGGCTTTCAAGTCAATCATTGCTCAGCACTGCGAAATTCCGGCTCGCCAGCAGCGGCTGATCTACAGAGGACGCATACTGAGGGACGATCGCACGCTTCATAGCTATGGTAATCCTCCTCCTGTTGTATTTTACGAGCTCAATTTTCAGCTCATTTCAGTAGGAATTTTCTGTTAACTCTACGGTTCTCCTTTTTCCAGCCGCAGTTTTGAGAACTTATTCTGATTTTTGTGGGACTTGGAAGTTGAATTTCCATGGCTTAATTTCCAGTTGCGCAGTTTTTTCGCGTGAGAAATCTAGTTGTGCGCCATTGTTGGTTCTTATTCTCCATCTTCATTTTTTTGTTTACTATTATTATTAGTGTTTTATCGGTCTGCAAAGCTAGGATACATTTTGTGAAGAACTTGCTGAAAAAGGGTGAAAAAGACAAGTGATTGATTGATTGCACGATGTCATGAAGAAAAATGTAATTTAGAAAGTGTTGTACCTTTTCACGATTCAAGTTTCTCCTCTCTAAGTTATCTCACTGTCATTGTTCTCTTGATTGCTTGTATACTTCAGTTTGTGCAAATTGACAAGCTATGCCTGTAAGTTGTGTGATAGATGTTCAAATAATATATAATAATTTGAACTATGCTTATATATGTTGTTGATAGGTCTTGAGGCAGATCACACTGTTCACTTAGTTCAAGGTCTTTCCTCAGACGAATCTTCACATGGTGCAGCCACAAGCCATGCTGGAGTCCAAAGTACAAATTCAACAGATGATGTTGCTTCTGTAGGAGGTTGGCCAATCGGAGGTTTCGGTCTTGGATCTTCATTTCTTTCTACGCTGGGCCTGAACGGATCAGGAAACGGCAGTGGTTTATTTGGAGTTTCAGTTCCTGACATGGACACCCAAAACCCTAACATGATTCGGGGTATTTTGGATGCATACCAGATATTGAGCTCGGCGATCAGTCCCGAAACCATGCACAATTTGATCATGAACGGTTCACGTGTGCGTGAGTTTATGGATCGTAACCCAGAACTTGTGCACATAGTTAACGATCCTGAGACCATCCGTAAAACCATGGCGGCTGCACAAAACCATGAAATTATGCATAAAACTGACAGGGAATTGAGCAACATCGAGTCCTCCCAGTGGGTGTATGAGAATGTACAGCGGCCCATGCTTAATTCATTCATCATGGCTGGTGACATTATGTCTGACTTGGTAGCTCAAGTTGGCGGACACGGTGGAGTTCGAACAGCTAGTTTAGTATCTCCTGGATCTGAAACAACAACTAACTCTGCTTCTCCGAATACGAGCCCACTTCCCAACCCTTGGGCCTCTGGTGAGTGGTGACAGTACATGTCATTTCTTCTGCATCTTTTACCCTTATGGTCACGGTGACTTTGTTGCAAATCTGCCCTTAAAAGCAAAATATTCTTGCCTGCTTTTTAGTACTTTGTTTACTTTGTGGAATGTCATGGCAGTTTTTTTGTCGTTTTCTTTATAGTTTTGCCTATAGGAACCAAAAGGTGTTATTTGTACATGCATAAAAGGAAACTGAAACGGTGTAAATATTTCCTTTAAAATATAGGCCGTACTTGGGGCGTTACAATGCATGCATAGGTATCATGGAACTGTAATCTTCCTATATATGTTTCCTTAAACTTTCCCCAAACACTAACAGGTTTTGACTGAACATTCATTGTGCAGGTTTCCGCTTTATGTTAAAACACTTCTTTGCAATCTTGTGAAAATAGCACACACTTCTTATGAATTTAGTAAAAGGAAGAGAGCACAAGGAAAGACGATTTTCAGCAAGCTACAAACTATTGCTCTTCTTTATTCTTGAATATGCTAGTCAAGCTAAGTGGTCTCCAGCGTGTTCAAACATTACACTGCCATTTTCCATTACTGCTGTTATTGATTCCTTCATTCAGTCTCCAATTCACATTTTCTGCTAATTTGGCGGTATGGGCGGCTTTGGCATTCTTAAACTGCAATTCACTAATATAGGTGTTCTGTCAGATCCTATCGGCAATGCAAGACCTATTTCACCAGGTGGCCTAGCAGGAAGTGGTGTCCCTGATTTGGAGCATCTGCTGGGTTCGATATCAGAAATTACCACTATTGATCAATTAATGGAAATGGAGAACATTTCTCAGAGGATGCATAGTCTTCTATCCAGTCCCCAGCTCATGAATCAGGTTTATTGACCTCCTTATCTTATTGGATCCTACTTGACTATTCAGTTTTCCCATTATTATTATTGTAGTTGTTGTTGTTGTTGTTGTTGCCATATTTTCCACTCAATATTCTCTACTTGACTATTCAGTTTCCCCATTTTTTTTTTTTTTTTCTTTTTGCCACATTTTCCACCCAATATTCTCTAATTTTTTTTCTTATCTGGATTGTAGATTCTTGGCAACAATCCATCTCTAAGGAGCATGCTTGATTCCAGTCCTCAGCTTAGACATACTATGCAGAATCCTGAATTTATTCGTCGAGTAACTTCGCCCGAGGTGATGCAGGTAACTGCTATATTCTTTATCTCCATCTGCACAGAGAGTCTTGATTTGAGGAATCGTTTTTGTCCTAGTGCATGTGAAGTTCCATTCATGTGTGGATATTCAATGGTACTGCGTATGTTCAATCCTTGTGCTGTTGAACTGGTTGGTTTGTAGTGGAACTGTCACCTTATTGTAGACTCTTAAACAATTTAGTGGAATATGCAATATATTTCAACAAGTTATGGGTCGGGTAGGCAAAGGAAAAGGAGGCGCAGATTTGGCATTTGTAGATTGCATCACACATCTGTATATGAACAACCTCTAATAAGTGATGCTCTTTTTTTCTTTTTTTTTTTCTTTTTGGCATTGATTGGCTTTCAGGCCGGTGTAGCCGTAAATACTGTAGAATTACTCTTGTTTGTCAGTCTCTTTGAGTTAAATCTATTAGTTGGTCATTTTGCTTCCTTTGACGATTAACATGTTCTCTTCTAAAATGGTGGCAGCTCTTGTGCTGTCCTATTGGCTTTCTCTTCTAAATGTGTTTTAGGTAGGGAGGCTTTTATTGTTCTTTTTTTTAACATTACTCTGTGATGAGTGGTCATAATGTATTGTTTTTTTACGCTCCTGTGAATGCCCTGTTCTCTTCCCATAAGGATCTGCATTCTGTGGGTGGATAAGCTTGCCTAATTATCTCAGACACAGAATTTCCATGGCATTTTTGTAAGGCATCTATTCACTTTCATTGAATCTCATGACTAACCTCGTCAATTGAGATGAAGTTGTCTGGTACGATATATAGTAGGAAATTGTAGTAATGATGTTCCGTTCTAAATTTCTAATGCATGTTCTGTGCGAGCACTTAGTAGTTTTGTCATATTCCTTTCCTTGTAACCTTATTTCGCACTTAAGTAGTTTTGTCATATTCCTTTCCTTGTTACCCTATTTCATCACCTCTCCTTATTATTGACCATTGACGTTGTTTACTTCATTTCAATTTCAGGTAATTCGGACCATTTTCCAAGTCTCATCTTTATTTCTCCGTCTTGGCGCATCTGGGTAAGTTCGGTCCATATTATTTTTCTTCTATCATTGATAATGATTTACCGTAGAATATTCTGTTTAACTAACTTGGTTTGTCGAATGCTGCAGAGAACCTAGCCAAAATACAGGAGGAACAGGTATGGTTCTTACATTTTGAACTTCTATTACATTGTTTTTCTCCTTCTTCTCAATGTTAATTCTTTTATAACTATGTCCCTATTGGTAAATAAAATTTTACTGGCTTTAGTTTATACGACTTTATGTTGCATCATTTAACACTCCAATATTTCCTGTTCTTAAGCAGCAAGTTTTAGTTTGCTGTTTACACCCCGTGATCCTCATATTCGCCGTTGGGTTTGGTGACTGTAGTCTGAAAAAAAAAAAAAAAAAAATAGTGCTTTGCTTGGTAACTTTATTCATCAAATCAATAGTCCAGATGTGCAGACCCCACCTTCTTGGTTCAATCTGGTTTTGCTTCACTTCTTCCTATGATAATAACAACACTTTCTCCTCACGGCATAGGGAAGAATTCATTGGAACCATTCAATTACTTCTGTTATTAAAAACTTTAATAAATAAATCAAACTCCGAGGTATATTTTGAGGGCCTTCTGGCCTTAAGTTCCTCGTAGCTCCAGATGATAACAAAAGTGCGTGATTTAGCACATTCTGTGTATATCTACAGACTACAACTACTAGCAAAAATCTCCAGTCTGAAGTATAATTTCATGTATATGATATATCCTCCACTGTTGATCCCACATTGGAAACTGGAACAGGTGGTAACATTGCATTAAATATGCTAATGAACATGTTCGCTATGATTGGAAGCTTTGATGGCATTAGATGCAGTCTTTTCGACGAATCCCAAGGTTATACGTACCTGAATCTACACACTCTCTCTCTCTCTCTCTCTCTCTCTCTCTCTTGCTCTGTTTGTATCAAATTTTACTGTTGCTCATAATTTCGCGATGTTCTTTGCTTTCTCATGCAGCGCCTTCTGAAGAGATATACAGCACTCAACTCTACGAGTTACAGGAGCTGGGCTTTGCTGATACCCAAGAAAATATTCAGGCACTGATTGCAACTGCAGGGAACGTTCAGGCTGCAGTCGAACACCTTCTGGCAAATCGTGGTCGTTAACATCATTATGGAAATATGGAATCATAGGTTTGGGAAAAACGGGATCAAACAAATTTGTAGTGTTTTGTTTCTTTGGCACAAGTACTAGCCGAGAAAAGGAGAATGTAACTGAAAAACGGAAGATGATGGTATCTCAAATGCTCGCAAATACAGTGTGAAGTTTCTGACCAAAAAAAAAAAAAAAAAA